AGGCTGGCCCGCATCCTTCTTGCAGGAGGGATGGAGAGCCAGCAGGGTGCAGCAGCCCCGGGACCTGCTGCTCTGCAGCAGCCTCGCCCGGCGCTGACACATGCGGCCCCGGGGGTGTGGGAGCAGCGCAGAGCTGTGCAGGGTGGGGGGCGGCCGGTGAGCTGGGGCTGGCTGCTGGAGAGCAGCTGGAGGGCTGCGTTGGAGGGGACTTGTCAGCGGATGGGGGAAGGAGGCTGTTTCTGCAGGTGGCGGAGAGGTGGTAGCCCAGTGCACCAAGCCAAACCCGCTGATGCAGATTATGACTAATGTAACTTCATCAGGCTTCTTCCATCGTGTTAGTTTAAGGCAAGTGACAGAACGCAATAAAGCAGACTTATAAAACAAAGTCTTGCAGTGGGAGGTGATTTTCTTTTCGGGACTCTGATTCTCCTTCTGACCTTACAGTGCAATTTGATAGGTTGAGGGGAAAACCTGCAGCACTGAAGATGTGACTCCTTCCTGTGCATGTTCATGCTTAATGATAGCGCAAGCCTATGGAGTAAGTGAATAATGCTATAGAGAATGAATATATTTTTCTCTAGAGTGTGTGTGGAATGACTAATTTTATCATGTGATATCTCTAGAGAGATCAGTTTTACAAAACTTTGTACTGGTAAGTTGTTGGGTATGTGCAACTTTAGACGCTGACAGAAGATTTCAGGGGTTTGATCTTCCAAGTCAAGTTTCTCAAGGTTTCAACTAAATACTGTAGTTATTACTTTAATCTGTCAGATTGCATAATTGTATTTCAGAGTTCTAAGGGAGGAAGTATGACAGTACTCTAGTGCATTGAGAGTCATTGTACTATTTGGTTACCTCAGGGTATGTTTGAACTAGTTCAGGAGAAGTTAGTCTTGTGTGGGTTTCCAAAGTCACATTATTACAGTCCTGTTGTAATAAACCTCTCCTACAATTGCTTTCTGATTTTTATTTCAAAAATAAACTTTAAAACTAGGTGACTAAAAGGAACTGGTATGTTGGGCATAGCATATAATGAAGTGGAATTTAATTATTTTTCAGATATTTGAGGTGAAAATACACGTGTAAACCCTGGCGTTTACAGAAGATGAAAGACATCGACATAGGAAAAGAGTACATTATACCCAGTCCTGGGTATAGAAGTGTGACAGAGCGAGCGAACTCGGTGCAGCATGAAGAGCAGGAAGGGTCAAAATTTCAGCATGCTAAACATAAGGTCAGTTTATTTTTTCATTGTTTGTGTTGCCATCTATGCTTATTAAATTACATGCAGCAGCAGCCTTTTTGCTGTGCCAGCTTTCTGTAGATTCACTGCATTGAAGGTCAATAATGAATATTCCCTTTTGTTTGGAAGAGGTCATTCCAAGGGGTACTGTAGCTATCTTAGTAACAAGTCTGAGCACTTATTAAGCATTTTTCACTTTTAAATGTGGCTTTTTAGTAACATTTGAACAAAACAGACTTTTTCCTAGTATTCAGATCTTGATGTGAATCCAGGAAATGTTTTAAGCTTTTGTACTTACGAGAATCTTTACAACCAAGTAAGAACAGTGAAGAGCTCAGCACAAATCATGCAGCATTCAGTGTTGGCAGCTGAAAAAACTCTTAATCATGCCATGTTTTTCTCAAGGATTAATTTTCTAAAGCAGATGTCTAGCTTGCTCTAGTAGCAAGACTTTTACTTTTTTCCCTCAGATGGAAGTAATCTGTATTGAATACTGTTTCTTGTGCATCTGTATATTTAACATGGTGAGGTGCGGTCATAATTACTTCTAGTTTAATTTGAGAGCTGGGTCTTGAAATAACCACTGGCTTAGAGCTTTGCATGTCATTGTTCTGAGCTTCTTATTTTTAGAGCTTGTTTGCACTGAAATGAGTGCATATACCAAGTGCTATAGGGCAAAAAAAATGCTCAGATATGTGGAAACACCCACACTGGTGAAATGTATGGTCTGAAACTAATAACCTGTGCAAGCTGAAGATGGTTAAAAATATTAGCTGCTCTGAATGCTAGCACTGAAATATTTTCTTGTATGTCCTGTTCTTAACCTTTTCTAAAATACTAATGTAGAACTTTGTGGAGCCAAACAAATAAAGTTAATACTGCCTATGTCTCATTTTTTTTCAATGACAAGGTGCTTGCAAATGTGTTGCTGGGCATTCCATATAGATGCCTGTGACAGCCCTGGTGTGAGAGGGTTGGAAACAGGGGAACTCCCCTTACTTGTATGGAGAAATTGTGGAGGTTTTTTAAAAGGCTTAAGTTTTACTGCATTATATTAGACACTGAGAGACTATGTACTTCAGATAAGGCTTACCTTGTTTCACTGGGGTTTAAAGGGTTTTGCCGGGTGTTTTTTATGTGGGCTAACAGTGCTGCACTGCTGTCCTTTGAAACTGGAGTGATCTGCTCTGCAGCAGGCTGAGTGCAGCTTGCACTTGCAGGCCCTGCAGCTCCTCGTGTCCCTACAGGCTCTATGACTCAGCAGACTATTGCTGATAGTGTTCAGAGGAAGGTAGAGTGTCTGCTTGCATTAGAACAGGCACTGATGCAGAACTAAGAGCCCTCTGGAGTCACAGTGCAGGTTCTTAATGGCATTTATGTTGATGTCATGGGCTTGCCATCCACTGTACACCATCCAGTAAAAAATCTGCTCTGTCAAATTACTGGTGACAACAGTGATGCCATTGGTGGACAGCTTTTTTTCCTGACCAGTGGCAGTGGAGTTAAGCAGTAATCATAGTATGTTATCTCTGCCTGTTGGTCTGCATCATCTAGTCATGTTGATGCCTGGTTTAACTCCTCAGGAAGAAATCCTAATTTTACCTTAAACTTTTAAATGAATGAAATCAATCAAACTGGTGTGTTTGGTTTTTTCTGAAGGCTGAAAGTAAGCTAAGTCCTGCACATCTGTACAGTGTGGCATTAAAATCTCTAACTTTGAGGCAGCTTCAGGTCAGCTTAACTCTGTTGCTGTAGTCTTGTTTACCCTTCTACCTCTACTACTTGATTTGCTGCCTATGACTGCAGGGTAGTAGATCCAGATAGCTGATTGCAAAACAGGGATTCTGTAAAATTTGTGATTACTGATGCTAGAAAATGCTCACCCTAGTTCTTACCTGGAACTTTATCTGTTTTGGTTTCTTTGAATAGAGGAATGAACTTACTTTTCTTGCTAATAGAATCAGCTAGCTCTGACAGGTTAACTAGCAAGTAAAATGGGTATCTTGTTCAATATGCCAGGGTTGAGTTAACTTTTAGCTCAAACATGGTACCCTTTTTGTTTTGCTAGCCTTATAGCTTGGATGTATGCAATCCATAAATGCAAACAGCTCTGAATTTGTTGCTGTGTGTCAGTGAGATTAAATCCTGCTTACTTGCAAAATACTGAGGGTTAAGTAAAAGGAGCTGTATTCATAACACCTTATCTAAGTTACATGTTCATGTGTACCAAGCTTCTTCCTTTCTAGTTGAAACAAGCTCTGGTTTCAGCAGCATTCTTGGCCTTATCACTTGGGATGCTTTATACTTTTGGTAACGGGGATAAGCAAAGACTTCCCTTTCATAAGGCTGAGCTTTGCCTGTTTGGTCAAGCACTTCCTCTCTGCCTGTAACAAAAGGGTAGAAGCTGTAGCTCAGCTGTTAAGAAAATGGTGTTTCAAGGGGAGAGAACGGGCTGTGACCTTCACTACTTTATCCTTTATGAAACCTGGGATTGGGTCAGATGCCTAAGCTGGCTTATTGGGCACATGTTGGCACAGCTGGTGACAGAACACAATGGAGGGCTGATGTGATGAGGAAGGGTAGGACCACAGCAGTTCAGATAGAGGGGTCAAGCTGTAATGGAACTGTAATGTCATTTGGACAACAGTCCAGTGTGCCATCAATAGAGACTTTGGGACTCTCAAATTTCTTGTAGAAAACCTAGCTCAGGATTTGAACTGGCTTGACCAGAAAATGACAAACCTGTAAGCATGATCTCAGTATCTCAAGTAACAAGCTGCAAGCAGATTAAGGATGTTATTTCACCACTAACTTCAGATCTTTGTGGAATGCCAGTTTGGGACTGTTTTGCAGCAAACTTATACTGCATGAGGTAGACTTCTTGCTAACATGTTGCATAGGTACCTCATACCTTGTAGAGCAAGGTAGAACTGTGTAGTTCCCTCTGAGGAGGATACAGGAACATGCTGTGTCTCGTAGTTAAGGACCACTGGTTAATAGCCAGTGGTGGTGACCACTTCTGGCAGGGCTACAGGTACATTTGGCTGATCAATAACATGACTCACTGGTTTTCCTGTTGCCTGTATTGCTGTGTTTTTATACATCCTTCTTAACTTGAAGTGGACAAGACTAGTTGATTGCCTGATGAAGATCTTTATAAGTGTAAGACCTTTTTTACTACTGAGCCAAGGTCCCAAACCTTTTTGTATGTCTCTCTTCTTTGCCTTGCATAAAGGTTGTATTCAACTTTGCTCTTTCTGTCCTGAAACCTCCATACTGGTGTTCAGGTTTCCTGCTGAAAGGATACTGTAATGGGTGTTCATGACAATAATGAAAAAATTTGCAATTCTTTCCTTAGAAGCTTAAACACTGTTTGGTCGCAGCCTGAAAGATCACTTCTTTGAAAGACAGGAGCTTTTCAAATAGGCTTCCTGGAATCATAATTGAAATCATGCTGCAATATAAGTAGGTATAATCCAACATTTCCTGGTGCTTAATGGGAATGTTGCTATAGAAATTTGGACTTCTGAAATAGGCACTCTGGGACTGAAATTCAAGAAACAATTTTTATTCAGCTTGTGAATGCATATATTCACTTCATGAATAAGTTTCTGCAGTGTGTTCTTATAACAATTGATTTTTAAGTCTTTGTTGGAGACTTTAATGTAGCTTACAAAATAGGTTGTTAACTACGTGTTCCCAATGCATAATACCATACTAATTGGGCTTATTGTATGTGGGGGCATGGCTCTTCTGAATGAAGATAACTTCCAGGTGTACTTGCTGCCTAGCACTATAGTCATTCTTCATCTGTAAGAAGCTGTTAAATTACCAGTGAATAAGAATTAAGGGATGTTTTGAAATATTGATTTATACTTACACCTTTAGAACTCTTTGTTCTTGGAACGCTTGTGTGCCCTTCAAGTTGTATCTGAAGTAATTTATTTAGTGTTTCTCATGGAAGCAGTGTGTCCTGAGGAGGAGGGTAGATCCCATTGTGTCCATGAAATATACTGTAAAATGACAGATGAGGAAGAGAAATAATTTGTTCTCAAAGTGGTTTTGGAATAGGCTCTTCTCAAATGTAGACTTCATGTTTATTTGATGGAACAGCAAGTGAGTGAGTATTTTGCTCCCCTACCCCATTATGTTTGCAACAACAGAAGAGGATGTAGAAACAGCTTGTTCTCATGATACACGATGCTTGTGAACTCAATTCTTGACATTCTAGTCCCTAAGTTAACAATGCTAGGGCACTAATTTACAAATTGTGCTCCAAGCTGTAATTGGTTCTGACTGGAATGTAGTGTTCAGGATTAGGTTCTTGCTGCTGAAGCATAATGACTGCATCTACAGCATCTGTGGTAAGCCTCAAGTGCAAACTGCTGCATTTGAAGACACTGCGCAGTGTGGAACTGTAGAGATTGCTTTAAACATGCAGGAAAAATGTGTTGCTAACTTTAGCTGTCAGAAGCTCTACTAATACTCCTGTCCTCACCTTGATCTCTTATTTTTCAGGTTTGTCTCTGACAGCTTTTGCCAAAGACAGCAGAGAGGGTGATCAGAACTTGCTGGAGTTGATGTAAATCCTTCAAGCACTGATAGCTTTGAAGTGATTTATCACTGACTGTCCAATAGTCAGATCAACTCTGCCTCTCAACTTCTCTGGAGCATCTGAAGTGTCTGAACCAACTGTGCTGCACCACATGTTCAAAAATAGGAATGTGAACATAGCCTGGGTAGTAGTGCCTTGGCACTCCATGCTCAGAGCAGGCCTTCTAGACAGCTACAGCTTTTAGTTGTAGTTGAAGCTACTGGATGTCTCTGCATTTTTCCAGAAGACTTTGTATTTTCATAACTAAGTAAACACAGAACTTCAGGAATCACAGCCTGGGTAGGCTCTTATGGGCTGTAGGTGTTCTGAATCAGTCTACGCAGAAAAATACTGCTATGTGGCTGGCTCAGATTACAGCTAGAAGCTGCAGTAGTTT